AAAGAAGAAAAGCTACACTATTTATTTGATAGTATTTTGTACTTCCTCAGGCTTGTGAGGATCGTGGAATTGCACGCAAGGATTCCGGGCACACGATCGCAATCAAACACGATCGTAATCAAACATGGTGTTTGATTTCTCATCCAACATGACTCTGATGTGGCACCACGATTACAGCGCCATCGTGGCCGTCCAAAGAAATGCACGCAAAAAAAAAAAGCAATTCCAGCGGTCGTGATTCATTCACCTTTAGCGAGGTAATACAAACAAAAAGAAGAATTTCACCTCCCTTGCCTTCTCAAGCAGCAGTCTTCTCGGACTTGAGAGGCTTGACCGTCTCCCAAGTAAAATCCGGATCGTCGCGACCAAAATGCCCGTACGCAGCGGTCTTGAGGTAGCGCTTGTTCGATCCGCGCTTCAAATCCAGATGGATGGCAATCATCCCCGGGCGGAAGTCGAAGTTGTTTTTGATGATCTCCAGTATCTCCGCGTCGGGGATCTTCCCAGTCCCGTAGCTATCCACGAACACCGACAGCGGCTCTGGGACTCCAATCGCGTAAGAAACCTGGACGATGCATCGGCGAGCCAGCCCCGCCGCCACCACGCTCTTGGCAGCTTGCCTCACGATATAAGCTCCGCTCCGATCCACCTTGGTCGGATCCTTCCCAGAGAAAGCTCCGCCGCCGTGAGCTCCCCAGCCGCCGTAGGTGTCGATGATGATCTTCCTGCCAGTGAGCCCCGCATCGCCGTGAGGACCCCCGATGACGAACCTCCCGGACGGGTTGAGGTGGAAGATGGTGTTCTCGTCGAGATACTGCTCGGGGATCACGGGCTTGATCACAAACTCCCGCAAGTCGGCGGCGATCTGATCGTTGGTGACGGTCTCGTCGTGCTGGGTGGAGATGAGCACGGTGTGGACGCGGATGGGGACCATAGCGCCACCTTCGTTGCGATACTCTACGGTGACTTGGGTCTTTCCATCCGGCCTCAGCCAGCTGCAAGTCCCATTCTTGCGGACCTCGGTGAGCTTAGCGCCGAGCTTGGTCGCGAGGACGTGACTTAGCGGCATCAGCTCCTCGGTCTCGTCGGTGGCGTAGCCAAACATGTGTCCCTGGTCGCCAGCGCCGATCTCTTCGGGCTTCTTCGTGCCGAGGCCGTGGACTCCCTGGGCGATGTCGGGGGACTGCTGCTCGATGTTGACGAGAACCTTGCAGTGATCCGCGTCGAGGCCCACGGAGTCGGAGGTGAATCCAATCTCCCGGCAGGTGTCGCGGACGATCTTCTCGTAGTCGACGTTGGCCTTGGTGGTGATCTCGCCAAACACCATCACCATGTTGGTCTTGGTGCACGTCTCGCAGGCCACCTTGCTGTCGGGGTCTTGCGCCAGGCAGGCGTCCAGCACGGCGTCGGAGATCTGGTCGCAGAGCTTGTCTGGATGGCCCTCGTTCACCGACTCGGATGTGAACAAGAAGCTCTCCATTGCGCCGCTCGTGCCTGGAATCGAAATGCGGGGAGATTTAGCTCGAGAATCCGACGATTTGGCTACCTACGAGCATGGAGCTCACAAATCTAGCAAGAAATTCACAGATCTAGGCACAAGGACACCAGGGCAGCCACATTTCGGCAGATTTGTGGCTGGAATCGTCGAATCTGGCAGCAAACCCTGGGATTCGTTCAAGAAATCTCACCTGAGTGACCGGCGCCTGCCTGGGGAAGAGATTAGAGCGCGCCCGGAGGAACGAGAGGGCGAGAGTGGGCTGCTCCAAATATGGGAGGAGCACGGAAAACCTAGAGAGAGGAGCAAGCCGTATATATATGGGAAGCATGGTAAATACATTGCACCTGGTAAGATTTACGGTGGATTCCCGGGATATGCGATTCGTACCGTGGATCGAACGTGACTTCGTGTCTGCGCCGACAATTTGGACAGTCTGGACCATGCTGGCCGTCAGATGTCTCCTACGCTGGGTTATTACAAACTTAGATGAATTGTTTTGCAATATTTGTTACTGT